AATCCCCCCCCACAAGTTAAACCTACAGACACAAATATAAGCATATAAGTGCCCATCAGAATACAGGAGTTAATTCTGATCAGCACTTGGGATATGTCATGATGTTTTGTTTTTGTTTTTTGTAACAGCCGCGTCGGTCGATCAGCTGATGGCCCACTAAGAGGTAGACGAAGAGGGAACGTGTGCTATCACCTGTCGACTTGTATCGGTTGGAATGCTTTACTAAAGAATTCTACAGTTTTCTAGTAGTACAAGATGAAAAAATAATAATAATAGTGATGATGGTGGCTCCATATGTGTATGGATATATATATTTGTCTCACTGTTATCATTGTTCAGGAATGAGAAGTATTTTCATTATCTTTTGGGAATGTGAGGTCTGGTATATTCTTTAGAGTTCAAAATTATGTTAATATTTATACTAAGGGACATATGGTATTATTGCATTTGTTCCATCGCTTGGTTACAAAATATGGAACATTTTTCTTCGCAAAAAAAAAAGAAAAAAAAAGAATCTATTGATCTATTTCAATAATTATTCCCAATATTTCCTATACAGTGTTTTGGATGGAACAGTTGTCAAAGGAAAACAAATATGTTTTTCTCTCTCTTTCTCTGTAGCTTCTTTGGTTTCATCATCTTTGGCGATTACACGATATTTTGCCAATTATCTTTTTCTTTCTTTCTTTCTATCTTTCAGTCCGCTTCTAGTTCTAAGAAATAAATGAAGCACTTTGATGAACAGCTTGAACACGAATCTCCATTGACGCGGGAGGCCATCAGATTAAAACGGTGTTCAAGACTGTTAGCTGACTGGGAGGAATTGAGTGGAGAGGGGGGGGTAGGGAGAGGGGGGTAAGGGAGAAAGCATTTGGGAGACTGAGTATTAAAGAATGTGCTTAATCAGGCTATGATTATGTAATATAAATCTCGTAAAACTCTGTTTTTTCTTACCACTGATGCGAACCAGGGATTTGGCAGTATGTCGTTATTTCGTTTTTTTATATATATTTTTATTTGTTTGTCTACTTAATACTCAGTTTTCACTATGGGAAATTTGAAAGGAGTAGATTAGCGTGTCATATACTGTACATAATACACTCTTAATACGCTATTATTGACACGAAGACCAAAGTATGGGATTCGAACACCAACACAATCAAAGAACGCGTTCGTCTGGAAGAGTGGTGTGTGTATATATATATATACTGGGAAACCTGAATCACGAATTCACTGTACAATAATTATGATACACTTAACGATGAAACTTCACAAGCGGACACTGGCACAAATTGTAGATATGTCTTGACAACTCCATGGAAGCAGGAGAGAAGCGGCCTCGACAAGTCTCTCCCAAGCACTGCATTACACTGGCAAGTCAAGAAGTCTCGGAGACTGTCCTGGGAAAAAGCTCGGAGTTTCATACGCTTCGCTCACAGGTTCATTTAGTGCTTCGTTCGGTTGCTTCGGATTCATTTCGGATATTCGAGAAAAAAAAGGTTTAATTAGAGCTTCATTTGGTTCCTTCGGACTTATTTTTAAAGCAAAGTTTAAAGTTAGGGTTTCATTTAGTTGCTTCACTTGGTCTCACTCGGATATTCATACTCGGAGCTTCATTCGGTTCCTGCTTCGTAGTTTCATACTCATTTTCATTGTCTCAGAGTTTCATTCGGTGCTTCACTCGGTTTAATTCGGATTTTCACTCAATGTTTCAATCAGAGCTCCATTCGACTGCTTTATTCAAAAGCTTCACACGGATTTTCAGTCAATATATCAGTTCGAAAGCTTCATTCAGATGCTCCGTTCAAAGCTTCATTCGATATTTTCAGTCAACACTTCTATTACTGCTTCACTCAGATGCTTCACTTAGCGTCTCATTCGAATTTCCTTCCAGTACCTCACTCAGAGATTCCATAGATGCTTCAAAGCTTATTTACACAATGCACAGGGGGTATTGACGCAATTTGAGGCCTTGAGGGTAAATAGATTTCAGACAGGTAACAAAATACACTTGATTCCATACAGTCTAAAAAGTTCCTCGTGTCAACAATGACCTTTAATCTACCAGTTTTAGGCCTATTCAATGTTTTTCTGGATCGATGTTTTAGGCCTATTTAATGTTTTTCTGTATCGATGTTTATGCTTCAGGGCCAATAGTTTACGATATGATTCATTAAAGTTTCGGAGAATTCGATAATCCTAACATGACATATTTTTTATTTTTCAGTTTGATTCAATTTTATGTGTATGTGGTGAGTGTGCGTGAGGGTTAATAATAATAATAAGAAGAAGAAGAAAAAAAGGGATATCTTCTGAGTCTGACTGGTATGTAATTCACTAATAGATTTAAGTATCAAATCAACGGCCATTTTATATTAAGAACACATACTGCCCAATCAGATATATATGTACAGATTCTAAATATTATCAGTGAGGTGTACATTCCAGAGGGGTGCAAGGAATATCACAAATATTTAAGTTATGAGACTCGTAAAAAGTGTAACTTATTGTGAGTCGAAATAGTTTTGATAAAGAAGACTGCATTGAAGCGTGTGTTGGTTTCAAAGATAACTTTACATATTTATATTCCGTAGAGCCGGGTGTTTATGCCGAAGTGTCTTAAACCAAAAATTCTATAACACCAACTCAGGAATATTAACCGTCTTAAAGGGAAAAGCCTCGTGTGACAGTTTCAAATTGATTGGAAAACCCGCAGATTCCCTTTCAACGCACACCATCAAAAGTGCTCTCGAACAAAGACCGCCTTACGTTTAATCACTTATTCCCCCACCCCCACCCCACCCCCCCCACCCCTTCTCTCTCTCTCTTCTCCAACCAATGTGGGTATATTCCTCTCTTCTTAAGCGGGGAATTGAATGCGAAAATTTTACCGATACATCCCAGTTCCCCTCTCCCTCTCCCCCCCTCTCCCGCTCCCTCTTCCTCTCCCTCTCCCTCTCCCTCTCCCTCTCTCTCTCTCCTCTCCCGCTCCTCTCCCTCTCCCTCCTCTCCCCCATCCCATGATATCCTAACGGATAGGGAGAGACCAGGGATTATTATTAGTGTTGTCGACGTCCTAATGAAGAAGTAGGTCCCCCTCTCGACTTGGACTTCCAAAGAGAGATGTCAATCAATGGTTTTCAAAGCCCGCTCGTCGATGGGTGCGGCGATTAGCGCTAATGGTAGATGGGGGTTTATGATGGATGGGGGAGTTTGTGAATGGGTGGTGGGAGGGCGTGGGGTATTGGGTGGGAGGGAGCTTGTGAATGGGTGGGAAGGGATGACCCAATGGGTAGGAGAGGGTGAGGGTGAATGGGTGGGAAGGCGGCGTGATGGGTGGGAGGTGATGAATGGGGGGGAGGTGAGGGGGTGGGTGGGGTGGGATGAAAGGGGTGGGGAATGGGATGGGGGTGGGGGGGGTGACTATGGTGGTGAATGGGTGGGGGGAAGTTGATGAAGGAGGGGTGGGGTGAATGGGTGAGAAGGAGGGAGGGTGAATGGGTGAGGAGGGGATGGGTGAATGGGTGGAAGGGGTGGTGGTGAATGGGTGGAAAGTGGGTGGGGTGAATGGGTGGGAGGGGGGGTGAATGGGTGGAAGGGGGGGTGAATGGGTGAGGATGGGGTGGGGTGATTGGGTGGGAGGGGAGGGGTGAATGGGTGGGAGGGGGGTAGGGTGAATGGGTTAGAAGGGGATGGGGTGACTAGGTGGAGGGGGTAGGGTGAATGGGTGGGAGGGGGTAGGGTAAATGGATGGGAGGGGGGGAGGGGTGAATGGGTTAGAAGGGGATGGGGTGACTAGGTGGGAGGGGGCAGGGTGAATGGGTGGGAGGGAGAGGTGTAAATTTGGGAAAAGGAGTAGGTACTTCAAGTGGCAGGATTAATGATGGATTACTGTCTAATGGGAGTAATGGGGAGGTATGGGGTAAGACTTCGAATAATGGTTGTAGGAGATCTGTTTGCAATACGGATGATTTAAGTGGTAAATCCAATTACAGGATTAATAGAGGATTATTCTACTGGCAAATGGTAATAAATTGTTAATGGTTAATGCATTATTGATAATGAACTATAAACGATTGCGGATCCATGCGGGAATCTCCAAATAAAGGGTTAAGGGTGATTAGGTCTATAAACTAATTGTGAAAATAGGACCTAATGGTAAAGATATTTCTATCATTCCAAATGCCGCCGTGGAAGGGTTAAATAAAGGGTCAATTCCCCCCGTGTATCAATAATTAATGGTTAAACAAACAAACAAACATACTTCCCCGTAGATAAACCCCAACGATGGTATAAGCAAAAGGGTTAAGTCGCAAATCTCCAGCGGGATCAAGTTCTTCAAAGTCTAAACCGAAGTCGGCCCTAACTTGGAATTATTGTTCGGACTGCTGCCCAGATGACTTAGGTTTAATTCCCTTCCCAACTGCCTGGCTTAATCCTTCGATAGATCCTTTTGACGTGATTGTTAACCTAATTGCGGATGATTGGGGGACTAATAGGGTTAATTGTTAGCTTCCTCGGAGTTATAAAGCTTTTGATAGGATCATTAAGGATGGGGAATCTTGCGTGTTGATGAGGCTGTGGTGAGGATAAGATATTTATTGATGATCGATGTTCGCCACTGGAATAATACTGATGGTTATCCTTGAAAGATGAAATTCAAGGACGTGGATTTTTGGTGTGGACTTAAAACGGCCATTTTCGTGTTGGACTTTTTCAGAGCTTTGTGTATGTAAGTGTTTTTTAGCTAATGTCTATGGCGCTGAGGGAATATTATTGACTTTTTTCAGACGTTACATATAGGCCTATATATAAAATATGTATATATAGGCCTGTATTTATTTCATTTTATTTATTTTCACCTTTATTAATTTTTTACTTTTATTTTTTTTTTTCATTTTTTTCTTTCCAGGGTAAATCATACGTAATTTTTTTTTTTTTTTACTTTAGGTAAATTGTAGAAGAGAAGTGTAGTGGTGTATATATTGCTGGTAGATTAAAGGTATTTTGTTGACTGATTTTTTTCTTCTTTTTTCACTTTCACTTCTTTATTTCTTTCGTAGTGCGTCTTTCGATAATTTTGTGACTATTTTTCTTTTTCGTATTTTGTCTTTCATAAAGAAACATCAGATACTAAACTCTCGCTTAGTAGAATCTCGTAGAAATAAACTACAAAAAACAATAATAATAATAATCTCATTCTCTCGCTCTCCTTCTTTTCTCTCTCTTCTATTTCCTCCATTTATTACCTCACCGCCCACGGTACCACCCAACGCTAAAACCCACACCCCAAAGACACGTTCCAGATCACACACAAACCCACAGACGCCCCACAATACCCTTTCTCGCCTCATCTCTTCGTCAGAACTCTCCTCCGTGAGCGAAGCCTATCTACGCAACGACTACAGGCGCAGAGACGACCAAGGGAGGGAAAGTAGCCTGAAGGGGGGGCAGAAGGCGAGGGAGAAGAGCGGCAGCAGGAGGAGGAGGGCCAAGTGGGGCGTCGCTGAGCGTGCCCCGCTGTCCTGGTCCGGCCGAACGGGGTATCCTGGTTGACGACCGCGGTGGAGGGTGTTCAGGTGACCCGATCCTGAAGGGGAAACCAGGTGGGGAGGTTATGTTTATTTAATGGTATGGGGGCCTTCGTTGTTCACGGAATATGAAGGAAATTATGATGTATCTATTGTAGAATTATTTTCAGGTTACGTTTATGTGTGTATTAAAGAATTTATGTCTTCGTTCTTCATGTGATATATGTGACTTTGTGAGAAAAAGAAAATGTCGCTAAAAGAAAGTGTATATATGTATCTTTCTATCTATCAGAATATCTATCTATAACAGTAAAATTAGTTCCTAGTCATTCTGATCTATCACAATGTTTATCTATAGCTATATAATCATAACAGAATATACATCTATAGCTGTATATATATCTAGCTATCTATCTGTCTATCTATCAGATTAGCTGTCTATACTATATCTGTGTCTATCTACCCATATACTTTATCTATATATCTGTCTGTCTCTCTATGTATCCATGAATGTATGCATGTATCTGTCTGTCTCTCCGTCTTTCTGTCTAGCTATCAATTCATCGATCTGTGTAAGTAAGTGTATGTGTAAATGTTATAATGTATACACTGTACACATGAATTATATTTACTTCCATTACTGTTTCAAGTAAAATCAATGATAATAATGATGTTGATAATATTAATGATAAAAATAATGACAATAGTTATGATAACAACAATAATTATTGTAATGATAAAGAAAAAAAAATGTTAACTACGATTATGATAATGATATCTATAATCATTATTATCATTATAACAATAATGCTAATAATAATAATTATTATTATTAACATTATTATTATCATCATTGTTAATATAAGTATTATTATAAAATGATAATGATGATAATAATGATATAATATTAATAATAATGATAATGATAATAATAATAATGATGATAATGTAATAATAATAAAAATAATAATAATAAAAATAATGATATAATAATGATGAAATAATAATAATAATGTAATAATAATAATCATGATAATGATAATGATGATAATAATAACGATGATACTTATAATAATAATAATAATAGTAATGATAATAACAAAAATAATAACAATAATAAAATAACAATTATGATAACAAAAAATAATAATAACAATAATAATAAGATAACAATAATGATAATGATATTAATGATAATGATAACAACAACAACCACAACAATAATAATAATGATAATAACAACAACAACAACAACAATAATAATAATGATAATAACAACAACAACAACAACAATAGTAATAATGATAATGATAATAACACAACAACAACAACAACAATTTCAATCATAACAAATGACAAAAAAAAAAACAACCACAACCCACCTTTGCCGACCTGTGACTTGGCGCGTCGATGTTCATCACTGATATCGTTGACTCCTTTCGGATGCGGATAATTCTCGTATTTCTTGTGGTCTGTGAGAGGAGCAAAGAAGACCAAGATGATTGTGGATATTCTGTTAGGTCCGTGTGGTTGTGTGGATGTTTGTGTGTGTGTTTTGGTTCGGGAGTGTCGTTTGGTATATGTGGGTGGGTAGGTGTGTGTATGTGTGTGTATGTGTGAGAGAGAGAGAGTGAGTGACTGAGTGAGTGTGTGTATGTGTGTGTGTGTGTGTGTGTGTGTGTGTGTGTGTGTGTGTATGTGTGTGAGTGAGTGTATGAGTATGTGAGAGTGTGTTTGTGTGTGTGAGAGAGAGAGAGAGTGAAGTGACTGACTGTGTGCGTGTGTGTGTGTGTGTGTGTGCGTGTACGTGTGTGTATGTGTGTGCGTGTGTGTGTGTGTGTGTATGTGTATGTGTGTATGTGTGTGGTGTGTGTGTGTGTGTGTGTGTGTGTGTGTGTGTGTGTGTGTGTGTGTGTGTGTGTGTGTGTGTGTGTGTGTGTGTGTGTGTGTGTGTGTGTGTGTGTGTGTTGCGTGTGTGTGTGTGTGTGTGTGTCCAAGCGATTTAGGAAATATTGCTAACTAAATATATAAGCAAAATACCTATACCTATTTTAAAAATAACGCAGTATATAGTAAAAATAATATTATTGCAAACTATAAAAAGAAAAATAATGAAATTCAACAATTATTTGACTTCTGAATACATCAGAAATATAAAAGTGATTTTAAAAGTGACACAAAGTAACACAACACCAAAAGTATGGAAATATTTTTATGAAGGATAAACCAAGCACCGAAATGCATTATTCAACAAATGTTTGGTTAAATAAGAGCGAGGATTTAACCAATTATGTTTACTCTTCTCTCTCTCTCTCTCTCTCTCTCTCTCTCTCTCTCTCTCTCTCTCTCTCTCTCTCTCTCTCTCTCTCTCTCTCTCTCTCTCTCTCTCTCTCTCTCTCTCTCTCTCTCTCTCTCTCTGTATCTCTGTCAATCTATCTACCTTTCTATCGATATATGTTTGTATCTCTCATTTTACCTCTTTCTCTTTATATATTTTTCTATCGATCTATTTACCTATCCATCTATTTCTCTTTATCTTTATATCTATCTCTAACTTTCTATTTCTCTCTCTCTCTCTTTCTCTCTCTCTTTGCTTCCTTTTCTCCCTCTCCCTTCTTCTATCCCTGTTCCTCCCTCTTTTCCTCTTCCCTCCCTCCCTTCCTCCCTCTCCTTCACTCCCGTTTCTATCCATTTATCACTATGTGTTTTAATCTATAATTTAACCATTACTCAGAGTATTTACCTTTGCCAAGGTGCCGCGTGGATGTAGGAACCGGCGACTCTCCTGACGCGCCTTCAGGTTCCTCCGAGCTGGAAACCGAGTTGCTGTGGGCTTTGGGGGTCTCTATCTCTGTGGGTGAAGAGAGGAGGTGGGTGTTGATTTATTTAGTTATTTGGGGAGGGGGAGGTTTTTAAGGGGGGTTAAGTTTTTTTTTTTATCATAATGGGTGATGAGAGAGAATGGAGTTTTTGGTTTTATTTAGTTATTGGGGGAGGGGTTGGGGGGAGATTTCTGTTGCCTCTGTGGGCGAAAATTTATTATAGTTGATTTTTTTCTGTGGGATTTTGTTTATTTGTTTACTTATATTTGTTTTGGCTGTATAGCTGAAGGTTTGTTTTTTTCTTTGTTTATGGGGGTGGCGAGGACGGTTATGTATGGGCGAAGACAAGCTTTTTCTTCATTATTCATATACTAATTTATTCTATTCGTGGTTTTTTATCTATGTGAGCAAGGAATGAATAAAGATTCTTAATTTTTTTTTTCATTTTAATATTTAATTTTGTCGCGGGTCCAATTTTTTCCCTATGCAAAAAAAAAAAAAAAAAAAAAAAAAAAAAGTCGCAAAAATCTTTGAAATGCGAGAGATCGGACAGCAACAGGGCGGCATAAAGCAGGTGCACCCTACCGTTGAACACCTGCGTAGATCGTCCCTCTGTAACTTAGCTGCCTCTTTACAAATTCCTTTGAAAATTACACAAATTATTATTGCGATGTTTATGAAGAAAGCACATTAATCTGCGCATAGATAGCGTCGACAGGTTTCCCAATATCCGTGCAGGTGAATATGCACACCTGGGGGGGATGGGGGGAAAGCCCGCCAAAGTAATTCGTCTGCTTAAAAACAAATGGCAGTCAATGACGTAATTCAATAGGCTATGGAATTTGTCCGCCAATTAGATATGAGTAAAGTGGCTTTAAGATTAAAAGAAATTGATGATTGGCTATACGCACAATCGCCAGATATTTACGTTTTTCTACGGATCGGTTGTCTCTCGCTTCAACAGATGCGGTAATTTAGTCTATATTTTGGATACTGTGGGGGGGGGAGGATAAAATAACAGCAGGAGAAAATAAATTAGAAGTATAATTTATGTTAGTTCTCTTATTACACACATTAACCTAAAGACGATATAAGAGTAAAAAATATATATATGAATCTTGTGCGAATAAGACACTTCGAATCATCTGTCCAACACTGTTCCGAATTATTACCGATAGGAATGGGCACTCATTTTCTAACACTTTTACTCTCTACGTAAATAGGAAGCAAATGTTCACTCATTTATGGCTCATCTTTCCTACTTTTCGTATTTTAAGATACAATAGCTAGCCCAGATTTCTTATTTTTCCACTTTTCTATGACTAGAAATACGATCTAAAAAAGATTCATCAGTCTGGAAAAGTTTCCCCTAATAATGAAGAAAGAAACATTTTCTTTCTTACCTTCAACGAAAGAAAATGGTAATAAAGCCAGACATGAGACTGGAGTTCGCCAGGATAAACTATTGTCGCCTTTTTCAATTCTGTTCTTTATCTTATCTATCTATCTATCTCAGCTTTAGTTGTTTGTATTTTCTATCATTATTATTATTGTCTATAGTTCACTTTAATAAGAATATAGGTAATGGCTCGAACAACTTCCCAGACGATTAAAAATCTTGCAAGTATTTGTGTGTGATGGTATTGAAGAAAGCGATTTATATAGTTATTTTTCTACATGCTCGCATATATATATATATAGATAGATAGATATATATAGATAGATAGATAGATAGATATATAGATAGATAGATAGATAGAACCACATTTGTTCACACTCAAACATATCCAAAAATGTTCGCACACACACAAACACACACACCTTCACACGGTGTTGTAATCTTAGAAAAAGGACCAAGACGGAAAACGAAAACGATTAAAAAAAGATCAAGTACTCCGTTAAACCAATTTGACCAAAACGAAAATGAAAGAGCAATACCATTAATCAACAATAATTCTGAAATACTCAGTGTGACTGCCCCAACTAATACGGAATTGACACTAACAGCAAATTGAATATAGTTGAAGCTACTTAATCTGGTTCAGACATCGGGTTGGCCCAGTAAGGAGAGCCAAGTGTGTGTAAAGGTGAGTAGCAGTGAGAGAGAGAGAGAGAGAGAGAGAGAGAGGGAGAGACAGAGAGAGTGAGAGAGAGAGAGAGAGAGAGAGAGAGAGAAAGAGACAGATAGAGAGAGAGAGAGAATGAATATATGTGGTGATCAAACACATTTTCTTCATTTATTCGTATCGTTAATCAGACACATCTTCGTCGTAATCAGAGAGAATGAATATATGTGGTGATCAAACACATTTTCTTCATTTATTCGTATCGTTAATCAGACACATCTTCCGCTGTCAGTTAATAAAAAAAGATAGACAGAGAGATTGACAGACACAGACCCACAGACAGACAGAAAATTTATTAGACACATACAGCCATACATACATAACATTTCGCATAAAAGGCATAAATTATTAGGCTTACAATGGCGGGCACATGAGATAGCATTCCCTCAGACGTCGAACAAATAACACAATCTATGGAACCAAAAGTCTTAGTAAAGTTGGTCAGTTTACAAGAACGTTGACCATATTATTTTTTTCTTCTTTTCTTAATGTTCTTTCCTTTCTGATTTTCTTCCTTTTTTTCTCGACCTCTCTTTCGCTAACTTTCTTTTTTCTAATCTTTTTTTTTCTTGTGTTTTGTCTGTTTTTCTCTCGTCTTCGATTTTATATTCTATCTATTTATCTGTTTTTCTTTCTCTTCTCTTTTGTATCTCTTTCTCAGTCTCGCGGTCTATCGCTATATAATACATTATATATTAGCAAATAACACAATCTATGGAACCCAAAGTATCAGTAAACTTAGTCTGTCTACAAGAAGGTCGACTCTATAATCTTTCTCTTTTCAATTTTTCTCCTTTTTGTAGCCTTTCTTTTCCTTAGCTCTCTCTTCTCTCTCTCTCTCTCTCTCTCTCTCTCTCTCTCTCTCTCTCTCTCTCTCTCTCTCTCTCTCTCTCTCTCTCTCTCTCTCTCTCTCTCTCTCTCTCTCTCTCTCTCTCTCTCTCTCTCTCTCTCTCTCTCTCTCTCTCTCTCTCTCTCTTTGTCTGTCTTTCTATCGTTGCTTTATCTGTCTTTCTCCCGCCTTTGATTTCTTTTCTATCCATCTATCTATTCATCTCCTTTCTTTTTATTTCCCTATCTCTCTCTCGTTCTATCACATTTTAACCTTTCTTTAACATATTTTTTTTTTTTATATTTTTATTTATTTTGCTTTCGAGATCATGACCTTCAGTTATCAAATTCCATATAATGATAACATCAAAAAATCAAAAGAATTCTTTCTTTCTCTCCTTCCTATCTACCTTTCTCTATGTCTCTCTATTTTTTCTTGCTGAACCAAAATCGAAAGGAGTATATTTGTTTCTTAGCCGTTCTCTCTTCCTTCTTTCCTTTCTTGAATTTTTCGGTCTCTTTCTCTTACTTTTTGATAAAAAAGATAAACAGACAGATTGACATGCAGACCCACAGACTCTCTCTCTCTCTCTCCTCTCTCTCGTCTCTCTTCTCTCTTCTCTCTCCTCTCTCTCTCTCTCTCCTCTCCTTCATCTCTGCTCTCTCTCATCTCTCTCTCTCACTCTCTCTCTCCTTTGTCTGTCTTTCTATCGTGTTTTATATGTCTTCCTTTCTCCTCGCCTTTGATTATTTTCTATCATTCTATCTATTCATCCTCTTTCTTCTTCTTTTTATTTCCTCTGTCGTCTCTTTCGTTCTCTCACATTTTAATCCTTTCTTTTAAACATGTCTCTTTTTTTTATTTTATTATATGTTTCATTTTTATTTTTTTATTTTATTTATTTTTTATTTATTTCTTTCTTCTTTCTTTCGAGGACAAAGACTTAGTTATTAAGTTCATATATGATAAACGGAATAACAAAAATAAAAATAAATTTCTTCTTCTCTTTCTCTCTTTCCCTAATATCCCTCTCTTTTGTTTCTTCTTCTATTTTTTCTTGCTGAACGCAAAATCGAAGGAAGTAATTATTTGTCTTCTTTTTAGGCCGCTTCTCTCTTCCTTCTTTCCTTCCTTCTTGGAATTTATATTCTGTCCTCTCTTTCTTCTACTTTTTGATTAAAAAAAAAGATAGACGGACTGATTGATCAATCCGTGCAGACCACAGACCTACTACCTCTTCTCTCTCACCCTCTTTCTCTCTTCTCTCTCTCTCTCTCTGCTCGTCTTCTCTCTCTCTCTCCTCCTCCTCTCTCTCGCTCTTCTCTCCTCCGTCTCTGCTCTCCGCTCTCTCCTTTCTCTCGTCTCTCTCGTCGCTTCCTACTACCAGCCCAAGTAATCTCCTTTCCTCTGTTTCTCTAAATTTTCTCCCCGTTTGTTTTTCTCCAAGACTTCGCCTTTTTACGAAGAACACGTGATCCATGTCAGATTTTTTTCTCTTGCTTTCCCCCTCTTCTTTCTCTTTATTTCCCAAGTCTTCCGGGCGACAGAGGAGAGTGTCTGGGAAAAAGATCTGAATACGTTTCCTCTTAATTTTCTCTTCCTTTGCTGCCTTTCCTTTTCTGTCTCTTACTCTATATTAATGTTAAGATCCTTATTTTTTTAGAATCTTACTTTTCATCCACATGCTTTTCACTTTTCTTTATTTCTTTTGTTTCTCTATTTACTCAAGTAAGTAAAACTTCCTCTCTGGAGAATACTCATTATATTTCTCCTCCTTTCCTTTTCTTTCTCTCGTCTGCTTTCCCTTTTTATTTCCTTGTTTTTTCCCCCCCTTTTTCTCTTTCTCCCTATTTACCAAACCTTCCCGCGGCCAAGAGGAAAGGGTGTCTGTCAATACATTCATACATACGTTCTTCCTCATTCTCTCTCCTTTCTTCTTCTTTTTTTCCTTTTCTTTCTCACTATTTTTACCAACCTCCGCCGGCGACAGGGAAAAGGGTATCCGTTAAAAGATTTTATATAACAATTTTTCTTCCTTTTTCTTCCTTTTTTGGGGGCTTTTTCTTTCACTCTG